TGTGTATATATATATATATATATATATATATACATATATATATAGAGAGAGAAAGATGATACCGTGTGTGTGCGTGTGTTTCACTTTCAAAATTGATGTGTATCTGCGTGCGAGAATGAGAGAGAGATCAGGAGAATGTATATATGTGTCTAAATTTTAATTGAGATGCGTCTCTCTCGATCTCACCCCACCTCTTTACCTTTTCACTCTCAATTTGGCTCACCTTTATCCTCTCTAAAATTAAAGTTTTGTATTATAATTAGGAAATATATAATTACTCTTCATAAGTATAGTCCAAACTAAAGCTATTTATAAGGTCAATGCACAACCTCGCTTAAAGTATACCTGAACTAATTAAGATGGGGTGAATAATGGACTATATAATGGATTATAATGGGGTGAATGTTCTGAAAAGAAAAATAGAAACACTCCCAAGTCCCAATCGTGGTGTTTCAACAATTTGCTAGAAATGATTTAATATTGAGAAAAATAAAAATCAAATATGTAAGAAATAAATCCATAACAATAAATTAAATTAAACAACCTTTAATTATAATCAACCAATGATACAATAATTTTAAAGAGCAAGCAAATTAAACTAAAAAGAATCACTACACAAGTCTTACCAAGTGCCTTGACTTTTTAGTAATGATCTTTTGTTCAACCATAACTTCATTGTTCACCTTTGTTCTTTTTATCCCTAGTAAGTGAAGGAATGCTTTGCTCATTCCAAAAGAAGTTTGTAGGATCCACCTTAGTCTTCACATGAACCAATCCATCAAAATTATTCTTGAAATACTTTATCCCCCAAACCTTAGCTTGCATATAGCTTGTATATCCCTTCTTGTTGTTCATTCCAATATCAATATCCCTATAGTTGATATAAGCAGCTCTTGGAAACTTAGAAACAAAAGGGGCCATGTAAGAATAAAGCCTTCTTATCCAACTTATATGCCTCTCAGCTACTTCTTCCCCTTCTTCATCCCAATACACCAAATGTTGGATTTTGTATAAATTTCCAGCTCTATGGGGGAACGGTATAGCGGATGGTGAAATCTCATCCATTCTCCCACCATAAGGAGTCAAGATCACATAAGATGATTTAGCTTCTTCTTCAAAGAAGAATCTCCATATTCCTTCAAGACCTCCCTCTGGAATTGGCTGATATACGTAATCTGATTTTGCCTTGAAGTAACGCGTTGTGGGTTGAACCCTGCTTAGCAAGACATCAAGAGATCCATGTATTGGGAACCCTGCAAAGTACATTATAGATTGAATCCAGCTCATCTCAATGCAATCTTCTTTTCTCAACCCTAATTCTGGGAAATTTTCTTGCATGATGGGAAGTAATCGATCGATTCCACCAATGAATAAGGAGTTGAATGAAGCTACAATTGTTTGTTTGTTGTTACCACCTTGATCACTTGAGTCTACTCTACGAATTATGACCCTAATGAACAAATCTTTATGGAATCTTGGAGCAACATTTTGCCACTTATGAATAAGCTTAGTGAGATTTTGTTCCAATGTCTTGTCAAGTGTGAAAACTGTAACTTTCTCAGGAACATCTAGCAATTTGACTTTCCATGCAAGGACAAGTCCAAAAGTATTACCACCACCTCCTCTAATTGCCCAAAATAAATCTTCCCCCATGGAAACCCTATCAAGAATCATCCCATTCGCGTCAACCAATCGTGCATCTACAATGTTATCAGCTGATAGGCCATATTTTCTCATCATAGTACCATAACCACCTCCGCTAAAATGTCCACCAACACCAACCGTTGGACAAACACCAGCTGGAAACCCTAGGGTTTTACTTTTCTCCGCGATTCTATAGTAGAGTTCACCAATAGTTGATCCAGCTTCAACCCATGCACTCTTATCATTGACATCAACATTGATTGTTCTAAGGTTGATAAGGTCAACTATAACAAACGGAACCTCAGATACATAAGAAAGGCCTTCATAATCATGTCCTGCACTACGAACCCTAACATGCATCCCAATTTTCTTAGCACAAAGAATGACTCGTTGGACCTCAGATTCACTCACTGGGGTGACAATCACGAGAGGTTTAGGAGTTTCGGATGTATTGAACCTTAGATTTTGTATGGAGAATTGAAGGATTGATGAAAAAGATGAGTTATTTGGTGTGTAATATGTTTGGTTATTATGAGATAAGCATTGGATGAATACTTCATGATTATCAGCTAATGCTGACAATGAAGATGATGAGAGAACAAGAAGTAGTAAAAGAAAGGAAAACAAAGAAATTTTCATATTGCTTGAGATTTTAGTTTAGTTTGTATTATGGAAATGAAATGAAATTTCAACCCCCTTCTATTTATAATAATAAAATGTGTGAGGGAGCTAGCTAGGAGTTAATTGTTTAGTTTAACTTTCAATAAAAATCCATATGCGTCTTAAAGGTTTACACATGGTTGTAATTTGTAATGAAAAAGAAATAAGACCACAAAACAAGAATAGTCATTAGAAAAATAGTACTCCGACCGCCCCAATATATGCTTTATATATTTTATGTTTAACTCTCGAAAAATAAAATGTGTCGCATCAATTGAGACAAACTCAATTATTTTGTTTGGGTTGATTTTTTGAGACATGATTTTTTTTGGCAATATTCATTACTTTATACCTTTTGTTGCAACCAAAGGGCAATTGTTTTGGTTTTCAGAAATTGAAAAGTTCACTGTCTTGATACGTAAATTCTTACTATAATCTGGGACTAGCGTTTTGGGTAGACAATAATCTTTCTTGGTATAAATTGGTAATTTGATGACTTATATATATTATTATTAGTTCAAAGTAAAACAGACTTTAATGGTTAGATTTTGATACTTCAACAAAAATAATTTTTAGCGATAATAAATATTGATATTAATAAAAAGTGTTAAGTTTTTATCGATATTAATTAAGTGTCATTAGAACCAATATCACTTAAGATCTTAGTGATATAGAGTGATAATTGTCGCTAAAAATACATATTTAATAACAATTAAAAATTAATTATCGCTAATGATATTTTTAATATAGTGTAAAAATTCAATTTGTTTATCGATATATTTTGGTATGGAGAAAAGATTTTAAAATACATTAATTTTTCAAAAGGTTTACCGGAGAAACATCATCTTAATGAAAATATTCATTATCCAATCATCTTTAACTATTACAACAAGTAACCTATTTTATTTGAAAATTTTGAATCCACGTTTTGAGGAGACTGGCTTATAAATAGTCTTTGAATGACTAACTTGATAAAAATATATTTACAATAAATAATGATGTATAAAATATTAAAATCATCATCACACACGGGCAAGTTTTTTATTCTGCGTATAAAGAATCCTTATCTAACTTTGATTGATTGATATTTTCTGAGAGGCCATTTAATACACATGTGACATATGAGTAATCTATATATAATTAATTAACAATTAATAATAGAAGGTGATAACTAAGCAAAACAATCGTATTTGATCTGAAAACCAAATTAACTGAGAGATGTTTTTGGAAATTTTCATTAAAAAATATTTTAATCACTTTTCATAATTATAATTTGATAATTATGACTTATAGCTACATGTTATAAGGAGGAGAGACACGAACGAGATTGGGAGAGAGAGGAGAGAGGAGAGAAAGAGCGAAAAGTGGCAGAGAGGTGAATGATATATGTGTATTGGTTAGATGATTGTATATCATTCACGTGTACTTATATATATATTGCAAGTGAGATTGGGAGAGAGGGGAGAGAAACAAGCGAGATTGGGAGAGGACGGAGAGAGGGGAGCGAGAGAGGGCAGAGAGTGGGAGAGATATGAATTGTATATGTATATTTATTAGATAGTTATATATTATACATATGTATTTGTATATTCAGGCGAATTATACATATAAATGTGGCTAATTATATAAACTTGAAGTCAACCCACAAACTTAACTGTATAGTTATATATATATATATATATATATATATATATATATATATATATATA